ATACTGTTCAAAGTATGACCAATATAGATGAAAATATACTGATATATATTTAATGTAAACACATATACTAGTGATAATCCCATCAGAAAAAAATGTTAATCCTACAAATATTACAACTGCTAGAAGGATATGTTTTTCTTGAAAAAGTGCTTTGACACCAGAACAGAAAGTCAGCAATGAATACTTAAAAGTATGTAAATATACTACAAATTATTTTGTTTACCTCACATTTGTCACTTTGTATATGCATGTATTAATCGTGTTAATTTGTTTTATGTCATTATTGTTCATGACTGTATGCCGACATGGTAATTGTCGATAAAGTGAATTGAATTAAAACGTCGCAATGCGGATAAATAAGACGAAACAAAGTTAATGTTCATATTTATCGATATAAAACAGGAGAAAATCTAAAACTAGTTTTCGGCTTACAACTTACTTAAATTTATTTCGTGGGAACGAATTTTATTTCGTAGGAGCGAATTAACATATTAAACAGGTCTAGGCCACTAGATTAACATGATTTTAAATTCCTGAATTCTTAAACAACACCCCATGAATGTTTTTAGAATCTATTATTTTTCGGTAACTCCATAGGTAGGCTTAGTACTCATAATAATCATGCAAAAAAATTTCACTGTAGTACATGTACATAAAAAAGTTTTTTTTCCTAATATTATTGCATTTTCGAAATATGGTCGTTAGACTCACCCTTGAGCCTGACCCTGAATCCAGGAGCTTTCAGTTTTTGTAAAGGGTGCATTATAATCATGCTGACAGTTTGGCAGCTGGGTGTCCAGATGCAGTGAGTATAACTAAAAGAACATTTTCTAAAAAAAAAACTTATTAGTAAAAAGTTGTCCCCACTCTGGGACCTGAACCCTTGAGACATGAATTTCATAATTTTATAAGAGGGCTCATTGCTCAGTATAATCCTGAGAACTTTTGACTCCTTCATATCCAAGAGTAGAGAAGATTTTCTATATAATGTAGTTTTTAAGTAGATGAACTAAGGGCTCATGAATTCACACTTTTGGTTAAGGATCTTTTCATACAACAGTTTGACTACTAAGTGTCGAAATATTAAGAATAAATCAAGCTATTGCATTAATTTTGGTGGTTTTTTCTACATTCTTAGGGCCCCAAAGAGACAGAAACAATAAAATTTATGAATATTGCTCCCCTTTATTTATTGATGCTTTATACCAAAATTGGCTGAAAGTGAAAATTGATTCAGCAGTTCTAGAGGAGAAGCTGAAAATGTTCAAAAAGTCTACATATACATCACTTACATGTTATATAATGAAACAATTTGACTTTAAGAATATCTGGTCAATACAGCTATTCATAATTGCAGCCCTTGTATTAATGTATTTCTTTAGCATTCTGATTAAAATCAGATCTTTGTTACGCTCCAAAATTCCGATGGTCGCTTTGTACAGCGACCATCAGAATTTCGGAGCGTAGCAATTAAGGTATCCGACCCATAACAGCCTCAGATTCAATGAATCTGAATGTATAACAGATATATTGGCTGAATACTCAGTATATGTTGACATAATCTTCATGTTTTAGTATCAATATGTAAGAGCGGAATGTGTCCTAATTTTTGACCTTGTCCTGTCCTTGAAGAGTTATCCCCCTTTGTTTTTAATCAATAAAAATCAATTCTAAAAAAATCTATCTGGTGAAACTTAAGTTTTCAATCGCTTTTCTATTCTTTATAATTAAATACATCTTTCCACCACAGCATTTTTAGGTCACCTGAGTCACTCAGGTGACCTATTGCTATCTATCCGATTTCGTTCGTCGTCGTGCATTAACTTTTGAACATTTTCAACTTCTTCTCCAAAACTGCTGAGCCAATTTCAACCAATTTTGGCATATAGCGTCTATGGGTGAAGGGGAACAAAATTTGTGAATTTCATGGTCCCTGTCCCCCTGGGGCCTGAGGGGTGGGGCTAAAACCACCAAAATTAATGCAATCTTTAAAATCTTCTTCTTTACTCCTGGACATCAAGCAGTCAAACTGTTGGCATGATTGTAATAAGCATTGAGCCCTCTACCAACATTGTGAAATTGATGGCCCCAGGGTCAGGGGTTCTGGTGCCAGGGTGGGGCTATATAGATCCTATAGTGAAAGTGCATTATTTCTTTGAAAATCTTCTTCTCTACTCCTGGGTACTATTGAAACAAATTGAATACATAGTTATGATAAGCAAGGGTGACTCTACCAAAATTGTGAAATTGATGGCCCCAGGGTCAGGGGTTCTGGTGCTAGGGTGGGGCTATATAGATCCTATAGTGAAAGTGCATTATTTCTTTGAAATCTTCTTTTCTACTCCTGGGTATTATTTAAACAAATTAAATACATAGTTATGATAAGCAAGAGTGACTCTACCAAAATTGTGAGATTCATAGGCCCAGGGTCAGGGGTTCTGGTGCTAGGGCGGGGCTATATAGATCATATAGTAAAAGTGCATTATTTCTTTGAAAATCTTCTTCTCTACTCCTGGGTATTATTTAAACAAATTAAATACATAGTTATGATAAGCAAGGATGCTTCTTCCAAAATTGTGAATTTCATGGTCCCTGTATAAGGGGTTCTGATGTTAGGGCGGAGCTCTATTTATTGAAATGCAGTGAAAATGCATTAATGCTTTAAAAATCTTCTTCTCTGCTCCTGGGTATTTTTTAAACAAACTAAGTACATTGTTATGATAAGTAAGGATGCCTCTTCCAAAATTGTGAATTTCATGGCCCTAGGGACAGGCATTCTGGTGAAAAGGTTGGGGGGGGGGGGCTCTATTGATTATATAGTGAAAAGCAAAATTTCTTTGAAAATATTCTTTTCTGCTTCTGGTTAAAAAGCAAAGAAGCTAAGTATATAAATATGATGAGCAAAAGTGCTTCTTCCAGAGTAGTGAATTGCATGACCCCTGAGTCAGATGTGCTGGTGTAAGGGTGGGGCTCTTGATAATATAGTGAAAATGCAATAATTCTATTAAATAATCCTGTCTGCTCCGTAGTGTAAAGCAGATAAACAAAGTGATTACTTATGATGAGCAAAATTCTGATCCCAGAGTGAGAGGCTCTGGTGTTTCTTGGTGGGGAGGGGGGGGGGGGGGGTGCTCTATTGATAATATAGTGAATCTGTAGTAAAACTGCATTATTTCTTTAAAAAATCTTCATTGCACATGGGCATATCAGAGGCAAAGAGAGTAAAAGTTTTAATAAGGAAGGGTATTTTTACCAGATTTTTGAACATCTGGACCATTTGGTCAAGTGTTCTGGTCCTGACCAGGGCTCTATTAATTTGTATTCTACTGAGAGGAGTTATTCCCCTTTGCCATTTACTTTTGATAATTAATAACTGTAAATAATGTACTTGAAAAGGTTAATAGAATAGGAGAATTATGCAAGAATTTTATTGTATAATACAAAAAGTACTTTCCTAGTTTTAATGATCAGGTAGACTTGTAAGTAATAGATAAATAAAAATGAGACAAAAATAATGTGTCTTATAAAATGTTCATCAAAGACCAAGAGAGGCCAATGTAAGAGATTTCAACAAGGAATTAAAATAGTACAGAAGCACTGATAGTTTGTTAAAGGTGCTTGGACACAGATTTGAAGTTAATATTTTTCAAATTTTTTGTATAATTTCATCACTTATATGTTGCTATAGCATTTCATACTAAAATATAATAAAAATCTTATTTCATCTCGTAGTTACTGAAACTTCAAATTTCTGAACGCGTTTGATTGACACATCCTTGCACTTTCACAAATTTTAATTTTATTCTTAATACTTAAGAAAAGTGGCAATTTTGTTGTGTATTAATGAAAAATATTAAAACTATAATCCAGAAAATTCAGAGTAGAAATGTTCGAAAGCAAAACCCACTCACAGTATTGTCAGTCCGTGCTCAGTGGTGTGTGCAGACTTTAACATTTGAACACACCCGGTGAATCGTAAACATTAACAATAACAGAGCTCGTGCCCTGTTTACAAAAACAGTTTACGTTTCACAGGTGTATTCAATTTGTTAAACTCTGTACACAACACTGAGCACGGGCTGACAATATTAGTGAGGGGTTTGCTTTCACACATTTCTACTCTGAATTTTCTGGATTATAGATGTAATGTTTTTCATTAATACACAACAAAATCGCTTCTTTTCTTAAATGTTAAGGATAAAGACAAAATTTGTGAAAGTGCAAGGATGTGTAAATCAAACGCATCCAGGAATTCGTAGTTCCAATAATTTCCAGATAAAATAAGTTTTTAATTATATTTTCGTGTGAAATGCTATTGCAATATATAAGTCGTGATATTATACAGGAAATTTGAGAAAATATTAACTTCAAATCTGTGTCTATGCACCTTTAATATATTGTATGGTGAGAGTGATAAATGGGGAACAGATTAGAACCTAATTTATGAACTGTTAATGAATACTAGACTAATTATTTTGTTGATCCTGATCACCCTATTTTTCTTGCTTTTGGGCGACAAAGCTTCACCTTTCAGTTCATTTTATACTCTATGGATCCTCTAAATTGTTGTATTATACTCAGGTGACCGTTAAGGCCCTTGGGCCTGTTGTTTGATATTCTTAGTATTTAAATTTTTATTTTCAAAAATTTCCTTGTCCCCATAGACATCAATGCAATCTTCATTAATTAATTACTGCTTAGGTAATTACATTTTTGAAAATTTCTCTTGGTAAATCCTTCACTACTCTAAAATGCTTTGAATTAATATCAAGAGTATTTAATACAGGATGGATATTTAAGGTTAGAAAAATAGGTCCTAATATGGGTCGGATACCTTAAAGATCTGATTTTAATCAGATTGCTTCTTCAGTAGCTTGTTAGTAGCTGAACAAGTGCTCTGACCTTGTACAAGACAACGAATGGTTGTAAAATGAAATACATGCATCCATGCAAAGCTTCAATAATTTAAAAAGCATCCAATCTACAGAATATTTTTAAAATAATTGTTTTAGCTGTTTAATGGATGTAATTCACATACATTTATATAATACATGTACTTTTTAGCTGATGTGATAAATTTTCTTCTAAACTTTATTCAGTGACATGTTAGGCACAAAATGATTTTTTACGAGTTGCATATCCAGTAGTTTTATACAAATTTAATTTAATTATGCCCAATACATTAATCATTGAATATTGTTAAATTACTAATTGAGCTGGGTCAATCGCTCACTAACTTCCCACATCTTTTTCCATATTGCCTTTTCTGAAGAGATCTCAGGCCACTTTTCTTCCTGACCCTTTTTGCCATAACATTTTCCAGTATCAGTGCCTAGATCAACCACTGCAAGATTTACAATGCCTTGACTTCCTTCTTCTGCTGAAGGTAGTAGAAGATATTTAATTGGATTCACTATGAAATTTAGGGCTGGGGAAACAGAATGTCTTGACAGTTCTGTGTTTACCATGCCTGGGTGTAATGTGTGTACACTAATGCCTGTCCCCTTGAGCCTTTCTGCTAGTTCACGTGCAAAGTACACATTAGCAAGTTTACTGTCTGCATATGGTTTTCTCTGTTGACCTTGAAAGTCTTCAAAATTTACTCTTCCATATTTATGTAAGGCAGAAGACACAAATATTATTCTGCTTGGTGATGATTTTTTCAACAAATCAAGAAGAAGGTTTGTGAGCAAAAAATTTCCAAAGTGGTTGACACTCATATGGATTTCTAAATTGTCTTCAGTTTGTGCATAGGGGTGATTCATCACTGCTGCATTGTTGATCAGTACATGTAACTTTTGTTCGTGTTCAATTATATCCTGACAAAAAGCTTTAACTGATTTGAAAGATTCAAGATCAAGGTGTTTAAAGATAAGTTCTCCATATTCTGTAATTTTTCTTATATCTGATATAGCAGCATTTGCCTTCTCCTTATTCCTGCACGCCATAATGACACGGGCATGTCTCTTGGCGAGCTCCAGTGCCGTTGCTTTCCCAATGCCACAATTTGCTCCAGTAATGATGACGGTCTTGTTCCGCATTTCCTCACTGCAAGTAAGAACTCCACGTTTATAAAACCGTGTCATTTTCCTCAAGATCATGATTGAAAGAGCAAAAACACACCCTGCAGTGGCGTATTTCCAAACTGACATCGTTTACATCTCTATAAGCAGCAAGAATGTGAGTTATGTAAATCTCGTTACGCAAACCTCTGTTTTCTTGTTCTCTCTACTCTAGTACTTTCACTTTGTAAATTGAATTATAATTCTTCTTTTACTCAAAATGGCAACCTCATTATGGTCATCGTTTTAAAAAAATCACAATTTTTTTTCATTACGAAAATCATATGACAAACATAGAAATTAAAAAAAAAAAGAAGACAAATATCAGGTTGCTATACGAACTACATATGTACTACCGACTGAAATTCTACTTTCGGTTTGCAACTAGACTTTCGGTTTGGTCAATATGTCCAAAGTTCGCTCACTATTTTTCTCATTGGGTGTCATACAAAAAAGATTGGTTATTGGTCTGTATATTTGTTTTGATTATATTTTATGTTTACTTACATTGTTAAGCTTGAGACTTATCCTGTGAATGTGCTTACCATGCTTACTGTACGTATTACTGTATAGTTTTATATTCTTGATCTTTTCAGGTCCTGCACAATCTCTTATAGCTTGATTAAGCCATTAAAAAAGTGATTTGGCTATTTTATTACACTTCCTTCTCAAGCAGGAATTAATTAGGAAGCAAGTAGTTTTTTTCGGGGGGGGGGGGGGACACAACCAAGCATTTTTAGTTTTGGGGGGATTACCAAAAATTCAAATTTCCTTCACAAGCAAAAAAAAAAAAGGTCATTAGATGTTATCATTGAGGGCATAAGCAAATAGTAGCTATGTTTTCTACAGTATAACTGTATTCTATATATCCACCCCCCCCCTCCCCTCCCCCGGTTCCTATGGCAATGTTAAGGACACAGGATACTCAAAAAATATAATAAGAATTACTTAAGAAAAAAAACAACATTTTATGAAAAGGCCAAGAATATTGTATGAAACAAATTTATATCCACCTATAAATAACCATATAACCAACTATCTAGCCATGCTCTAAAGTATATGGTGACTTTATCATCAGAACTTGCTATAAACTTGTTTTTGTTGATGATTTTGAAAAATTCATTTTTCCATAAAATGCACTGAACCAATTCACTGTAATCATCCTATCAAATACTTGACAGTTATCTCAAATACAGAAAAAAATCTGCAGTTTTACTGTACATGTATTAAAAATTTTGAGCCATATTGTTTACCAAAACATGCCCTGTACAGGGTGTAGGAGTACTTGATTATGGAAAAGTGTAGACTTTATGCCCAGTGTAGATAAATCATGAGCACCCAATATAACATAAATTATTTACAGAATTTAAGATACCTGTAATGTTAATTCAGTGGTGTATTTATGTTAAATCATGAACTGCATTATTCAGGCCAGTCACAGGCATTTGGAAGCAAAGCAAGGAACATGTCAACAATGGATTACACATTTGAAACCCTGAAAGTAACAAGACCAAAGGATTTTGTTGTACAAGTGGAAATGAACAGACCCAAAAAATTGAATGCAATGAATCGAGCATTTTGGAGGTAAGCTTAGCTGTGATATTGTTCTGACATTTCATCAGCTGTATTTCTATCACTGTTACAATGTCATCTCAGTATGACAATTACAAAAAAAAACAATGATTTTAAGTAGCCCATGCACTTTTCCTATCAAAGCCAACAGGTGCTTAGTCAAAATTTTCTGTTAAATTAAATGGGGGTTGTTAAATAAAATTTCATATATTTACATTTTCAAATGTCTTGCCTTTGATAAAACTACAAATAATGTAATACAATGATGTAGCTTGATATCCTCATAAAGCAGTTCGTTCAGCACATGACAGAACTTGATCCATGCTTTCTTGCTGTATGTTGCTTAGTAATACACCTCCTGCAGAAATTTCTCATTACTGAGTATTTTTTTTTTATTGGATCAGGTGAAAATGTAAATGTAAGAGAAAACTCTCTGGTTGGGGGGTTTTATGATGATGATCAATCAGTATGCTCGCATAATTTTATAATATGCATTGTTATGCAAATTATCACTGAGCAAACTGATAGATCACATCATAAAGCCGACAAAATAGATAATTATTCTTTAAATATATGCACTAAAATGTTCTTACATCTCTGTTTAGGGAGTGCAGGGAGTGCTTTCAAAGACTGTCCACAGATGAAGATTGTAGAGTTGTTTTGGTTTCAGGATCTGGCAAAGCTTTTACAGCAGGTAGGCCCAACAGAGTGCAAAAGGTTGAATATATGGAGTAGTACCAGTTTAAATATATCTCTTTTTTCACATTACTTTTCAGGGACAAAGGTACATTGTATTAAGAAAGCTGAAAGCATATTAAGTGTTGGTTTTGGATGCTGCTGATATGTTTTTATAATGACAGGATTAGATTTGACAGACATGGCCGAAGATTTTATGAGCTCAGACCTAGAAGTTGGTAGGAAAGCCTTCAAATTAAGGAATTTAATCAGAGACTATCAGGAGACATTTACAGTTATTGAAAAAGTGAGCAGTGTTCTACATTTTCTGTGTGGGAATATTGATTGGGGGAATTCTACAAATTAAAAAAAACATATTTTGAAACAGGAAAATAAAATTCCCACCAACCTACTTTTACCGTATATACTCGCCTATAAGTCGATTTTTTGGGAGTTAAACTTTGGTCCAAAACTCTTTATCCGACTTATACGCGAGTTATAAAAAGATCGGTATTTTAGCAGGTCCATCCCTCTAATTTAAACTTATAAAATACAACCAACTTATAGGCGGACCGACTTATAGGCGAGTATATACGGTAAGTTAAAACTCTGAATAATCGAAGGAATCAATTTCAATTTGGGCCTACTGTGATATACAAAATTAATCTGACATGAATCATTCATGTTTCAGATGAACATAGTGTTGAAAGTTAATGGTTGCTTAATTTATTCCTTATCATCAGGGTAATATACATCTAGTTCACATTTCTTAATTCTTCAGTGTTTAAGTTTAATTATATAAAGAAGTATAACAAAAATATTATGAATGCAGTGCCCTAAACCTGTGATAGCAGCAATACACAATGCTTGTGTTGGAGGTGGAGTTGACATGACATCAGCCTGTGATATAAGATACTGTACCAGTGATGCATGGTTTCAAATAAAGGCAAGTAAAAGAGTTACATTACTAGAGATGTAGAGAAACATTTGTGGCAAGATTGTTTTATGAATACGTAAAAGAATGGTTCAAAATATCAAAATATATAAAAGTACAATGGATATGAGGTTGTTTTTTATTTTTTAACTTATCACTGCATGTACCTACCAGTATTTATATTTGGAAATGAACTAAATACCAGGTACATGTACTAGGTTAAGATCAAAAGTGTTTTGTGAATTTTGGATACTTACTGTAAGTATGTCATTTAAATGTATGAGTAAGAGTGGATCATTGTTAGTAATTACAGATATTTTATTAATAATAATCCAATTATATAAACTTGTAAAGCAGAAACAACATGCTTGTGATGCAGAAACAATATAATTTTGATGCAGAAATAATATGCTTGTGATACAGAAAAAGCTTTAATTTGATAAGATTTTTGACAAGAGTTAAAATAAGGCCTAATCAAGAAATTTTAATATGATGTGATAATCTTTATAGGAGGTAGATGTTGGGCTTACAGCAGATGTAGGCACGCTACAGAGATTTCCAAAGATAGTAGGAAATGATAGCTTAGTAAGGGAACTTTGTTATACAGCAAGGAAATTCTACAGTGATGAAGCAAAGCAAATTGGATATGTAAGGTAACGTAACATTCTGGTACTCATGTTTTTTTTGGTACAATATCTGTATCAGTTTATTCAAGTACTTGCATGTCATTTTTTATACCCACTCTTTCTTGAGAAAGTTAAGGTACATGTACTTGCAGATTGATATTATCCCAATCTGTCCATCTTTAACACTATCTTCTATCTCAAACTCCTCTAACATTATTTGCACTAACCAATTCATCTTTTGGAATGTGATTTGTGATATCTTGTACATGTGCAATAAGATTTCTGAATTTTCATTTTTATCAAGGAGGCTAATTTGGGGCCAAAAAAAGGTATTTCTATAAAAAGTATGTTCCCAGAACTCTGATATTTTAGGCAGTAGCCAAATCATCTTTAAATTGGAATATGATTGGTTGTGTCTTGTAGATATATAAAGTTTCAAAATTTTCATTTACATCTGGGAGGCCAATTGGGGACCAAAAATTTAAAATTCCCCTCCCCCTTTTTTATTTTACACAAAAAACTTTCCAAAACTTGTCTTTGCTTCATTAGATTCTTTGATTTCAGACTTGTAATTAATTTACTTGTGGTTTTAATGAAATATATTAACAATTATTAATATTATATTATTCATGTATTTTGTATCACCCTCTTTATCAGTCGGATATTCCCAGACAAGGAGGCCATGATTGAGGGTTCTTTAGAGATGGCCTCTATGATTGCTTCAAAGTCACCAATTGCTGTCCAAGGAACCAAAGTTAGCCTGGTGTTTTCTAGGGACCATGGTGTACAGGAGGGATTGAATCATGTGGTGAGGTCATTTTACTACCACGGAGAAAATTAGAATTTGTTCAATCACAATATATAATTATGAAATAAAAAACTAAAATATGAATCATTGAAAAATTGTAATAACTAAACCATTCCCTGGTAAAGTCAGAGACAGATCTAGCCTCTAGGTCTGTTATGGTGTTCTACTTATGTTCTGTATACTGCATATGTATTTAATGTTGTTCAAATTGCAACACTAATAATTCTCAAAATATAGATCGCTGTAGGGATTATGAAAAATAATGTCAGTACACGTACCGGCATGCATCTAATAAAATGAAATTATTTTTGTAAAGCACAGAAGGCCAATCTATTAAATTTAAGAAGACCGGAAAATTATGTCAGATATCAGAATAGAGGTGTGATAGGCTAGGAATTCATGTATTTTTGATAAGTTGTCTTGTCTAATAAAAATTCTCAGAAGTGGGGACGGGGTTAACCATCCATACATTAGGTGCCTGTGGTACAATAATGTAGATATCAGTATAAATGGTAATATTGTGTGGCTGAGATGAAACATAATCTGTGTGTTTATTTCTATATTTCAAAAAGTAAATTAGGTAACTGGATAAAATTTTCAAATAGAGAAGGTATTATAACATGTGTGTGCATTTCTGAAGATTTTTTGAAATAATTTTTAGGGTCTATGGAATCAAGGAATGCTTCAAAGTGAAGATGTGATGAAATCTGCAATGGCAGCAATAGAGAAGAAACAAGCAACATTCTCAAAGTTATAAAGAAAACCTGTGATTTAATGCTTTGCTGACAATAAAAGAGTGATTATTACAGAAATGTAAATATAATTATATTTCTAACAGGGAACTATATGTACTACATGTATATTCAGGGTTACAAATGTACTCTACGTGTATATTTTACAAGTGTGACTAGACTATGAAAATTTAATACATACATTGTATTTATTCATATCAAAGATCTATAACTCTTGTTTTACAATGTTATCAAATTTGTTCTATGATTGACACTTTAACTTCCATCTTTGCTACATATTATTGCACTTTTCAAAGCATTAAAATGTGATTTATTTAATTTTTTTTTTTAATAATTTCAGGTTTATACATGTATTATTTATGTTTACTTAAGACAAAATAAATTGAGTTTCAAAAATATGTTGGTTTCGTTATTTTTAATTATAACAAACTAGGAGACAAACTAGTAAATGATATTTTCTATCTCAAATTTTGTGAGATTTGTCTATTGCTTGAAAATGTAATTCCACACATCACAAGGCATTGTAGTCTTATATTACATATACTAATGATAAAAATGTTCATTTTTCAGAAATCAAAATAAGTTTAGTGTGAATTATTGGTGTGTAAATCACATAGACTTGCACGTATATAGGCATATTTTTCATGAAGTGCTAGCGCACTTCATGAAATATGCCTACGTGACAAGTCTGTGTGATTTACACACCAATAACTCACACGAAACTTAAAAACATTCCTTTAATAAGCTACTTATAAACTACCATCATTAACAGCTAGCTTTTCTTGTCATTGAAATATTGCATATGATCCGAGGGTACATAATGACCATGACCCAAGGTCATTCCAGGCAAAAAAATAAGTTTTATTTCTGATCAGTACCTGTCTATAACTCTCAAATGGAGGCTAATTGGAAGTTCATACTTGGTACAAAGATTGTTTATGATATGACGGTGTGTCATGACCTTCATCCTATGTCATTCTGGCAAGTTTAAGTTTAAAGTTAAAAAAAAAAAAGAAGAAAATTTTTGTTGGGAGTTGAAACTCCAAATATTTTTTTTTAGCTGAAAATGTCATAAACTTGACCCAGGGTCATTATGGCAAATTCAAGGTCACTGATAGAAAAGTGTAAAATTCATATCGCATCCATAATTTTCTAATGGAGAAACATTAAATGTCCATATTATTTCTCTCAAAGATTTCTTATGATCAGAAGATGTGTCTTTTTTTTTAAACATTTACACAAAATTGTGATGGACACTTAAAATAAATTGCAGCTGGGAGGAACGGGTATTATTTTGTGAGCTCCCTCACAGTACCTCTTAGTTTATTCTGTATTCAGTATAGAGGGAAAAAAAGTATTTTAATAAACCCGGATTTTTACACCGAGAACAGACCAAAGGTTAGTCGAACCGGAAGTTCGTAATGTCAACACATCATGAACATTTCATTGAATAATGATTGATGTATGAAAAACTAAGATTTTTACTTTAACCTTAGATAAATAACAGTATCCATCAAAATGAAGTCCAGATTCAGCACAGTTGATATTACTGTTGTCATAAAAGAGCTGAAAAGGTTGGTCTAAAGGTTTAACATGTTGGTTTCATTTCACATGGCCGTACAAATTTCATAATCATTTTAAATGTTAGATTATGATTGTATTTATTTACTGTCTTGTGGATGAATGAAAATATATGTAAGGATAAGACTACTTCGTAAATGTTGGAATTATCAAGTATAACTAATTTACATAAATCTTTGATTGATTCTTGTATATGTAGCGCAGACCGAGCTGCGGGGGAGTCAACTTAAACTGCTGAGTTGATAAACATTTACTGTCCGAGCGGTTTTTACTTAAATTCTCATCTTTCCCCAGTATTGTGCTGAATGACTATGAAGTCCGCATAAAAGTTCACTAATTTATTTACATATCTACACAAAATATTTACACATATATAGTCCACACTTCACATTAGAAATAATAGTAAAATAATCCAGATGAATATATAAAAATCCTAAACTCCCGCTATCCTGTCTAAATCCATTCTGTCTGATATTACAACAATTCACTATACAACTGCAACTGCAACTACTTTAACTGTTCAAATTTGCTCCCTTATATACTATACTGAGCCTCCACAATGTGGGGAGTGAAAAATCTACCTCCTCTAAGTGGGGAGGCAATACATAACATTAAACAATGACCACCTGTGATTAACTAATTATCACTATAATTAAAAAGCAATAAACTGTCCTAGTTTACAAATAGATAAGACTAAACAGCTAAATAGAAAATTAATAACAGGTAGCTATGATCATGATAACAATCCGGAATCTGAAAACCAACTATTATAAATTTGCTACATATAGATTTTTAAAATTTTTTTTTGATTGGCATGTTACTATAATTATATTGATATATAATGTATTAATATTGTTTTTTTTTTTTTTTTGTTTTTTTAAATTTAATATCCAATCTCTGGTAACAAAAGCTGGTATAAAAGTAAAAACAATAGATGAAACACAATATTGTTTGTTTGTTTACAGATTTTATGGTATGAGAGTTGTTAATGTGTATGATGTGGACTCTAAAACCTACCTCATTAAACTTGGAAAGTAAGTGTAATGTATGTTAGAAAGTCAAAATTGTTCCACCCAGTGACAGTTATGATGGTTGACATCTCCACTAAAGGATACTCAACCAATGTTTTTAACAATTCATCCCACTTATTTGTTGGCCAAAGACAACTTTTCTAATTTTCAAACTGTTGTGATGTTCATGAATTATATTTTACATTTGTGTGCGTGTTTCAGTAAACAATACAATACAATACAAATGATAAATGATTTTAATACTGCATTTATTGAATATAACACATTGTAACTGTAATTTTCATTATAATTATCAAATCATTAATTTTTCTACAGATGCATGGACAACTTAGTGGACATGTAGTCGTACCGTCTCTGCTCATAATTTAATTTTCAATCAATCTTTGGATCTTCCCCCTAACTACCCCCCCCCCCCCCCCCCCCTTCTCCAAAAATGTTTACAGAAGATGTAGCTGGTCTAATAATTTATATGAAATATGCAATAACCATTGATTGAGGTATTGAGGATTTAATAACCTTTCTCACATGATGGGAAGGTTTTGGATGAGTGCCGAGTAAAGGTCTGAATCCTTTACCAATGACGTCTATGATGAATGAAGGTTGAGACATCTCAAATCCTTTTTATGGTTGAAGATTTTAAAGAATGTTCATTGTTCATCAGAAGCAAGGTGATCTGGGGGGGAAAAAGATCATAAAACTAATATAAGTAGGGATGTCAATTTTGTCAATAATTTATATTCGAATATTCAATGAATGTATTCAAATATTCGATAAAATGAATCATGTGAATAGAATGTGGTTTATTTTAAATGTACATCATCATACTCTCATGGCAGGTTTTGAAAGTAAAAATGGATGTAGACTTTTGTAGATATACAATAAGGAATTCTACATTTGATATTTGTCAATGCATGTTTAAAATAGATAATTGATTTAAGTGTATACAACCGAAATATAATTTTAACAAATGATATCTATACAAGCTCAGACTGACGAACCAGTCATCTAACCAGGGGCAAGATTGTCGTTTACTTTTCAGATTTAAATGCACATAATTAATTACAATTATTTGCTTAATATAATTTAATCTTTGATACAATGTTTTGAAAATAAAAACAAACATTTCCATAGACAATTTTCCTATGTTCATTAATTTAATAATGATTTTAAAATTTAGGAATATATTCAACCCGAGGTAATCAAGTAATTGATGCATTATTCTGTAATTGAGCCCTTTACAATATTACAGGATGATTCTATCAAAGATGTAATTCAATGATCAATATAACTTATTTTCATAAGTACACTCTTCACGTCTCTTAGACATTCAAGAAGGATTTCATTTCATTGTCATCGATTCTAGATCCGATCATATTAAACTACTGAAAGTACTTTTTGTTTTATACATTCATAATTCTTGTTTCTTTCTTTTATACTAGTCTACCTTACTCAAAATGAAATAATTTAGAAGGTCTATAAGATAAGAAAGTAATGAAAGAAATCAGGGGATCGCTAGTAAATAAGACGGGGATACTTCCAGCACTGTTCTAATTAAAATCTATTATCTCTTCTTTTTTGTGAAATCTGAAAAACACCGAATATTCGAATCTTAAATTCATATTCCAGTATTAACTCATCGAATGAATATTCGAATGTTCGAATATTTGTTGACATCTCTAAATATCAGCCACATGCTGTTTCAATAATTATGCTGCATCAAGCACATGTATGTGTAATGTGTAACTAAATGAGCATCGTAAAAGCAAGAAAAACAATTCTTTTGCAGAAACTTCTTGTTCGCATGACCCCTGCACAGTGTTCTGTAGAATTGACCCCAATCTCAATTTGAAACATGTTAAACATGTTTTCTTGATGCAGCACATTTGTTGATGAAGTATATATTTTTTATGATTTTTTTCCAGACCACCCCCTTCTAAACATTCCTTAAAATATCCAGTTGTCAATAGGATATTGATCGTTTTCAGGATCAGACCTGACCATCATTCACAAATAAGCTAGTCTAGTCATAATGAAAAGTTTTTCTACACACTAGCCCAGGGGGCTAGTGCCCAAGCAAATTTTACTTTCCCCTACAAAAAAAATAATAACCCTGTATGAGCCCACACTGATTTAAAACTGTTCAGTTTAAAACTAAATGGTATTATATGTGCAGATCTTTGTGTTTAGTTCAGAACAAATGGTGGTTGTAGTTATCATATACATTATTATTGCAGCTTTATTTACCTCATAAGTGCCCTTATAGATAACTGATTCAAAATTATTACAGTTGAACTTCAGTATCCCGAACACTGATATCTCAATTCCTATTGAGTTCGAGATAACAAGGTTTGACTGTATGAGGAATAAGATGCAGGTACCATAAAAAGTGTTTGTACTTATTATTTGGCCTTCAATTTAGACCTGATGATAAAGCAGTGATTCTGATTGAATCTGGTATTCGAATACATGGAACAGAGTATGACTGGCCAAAGAATATGGCTCCTTCAGGCTTCTCCATGAAGGTATAAATATTTTCATTATTAAATTAAATGTGAATTTCATAAAAGTTAATTATTGATTAAAAATATTTTAGTAGCAATGAGAATCTATTTTAATATTTCAAAGAAATGTGCAAATGTATCTATTTTCTTTTTTTAAATATTTAGCTGAGAAAGCACATTAAGGGG